ACTTTATAAAACAAGATTTGTTGTGTATTTCATTACGTTGATTCAGCTGCTACAAATTATAAAAAAATTTTGTATACTCTTAATGTAGCATACATTTGTTTTTTATGTGAGTTGCTGGAAACAACTTTTGTACAAAGACAGACTGGGTTATTAAAAATTGCTGGAAATCAAATTGTTTTTTTGCCCCCCCCCATCCGATTAATCGATTAATCGAAAAAGTAATCGACAGATTAATCGATTATCAAAATAATCGTTAGTTGCAGCCCTAGGTTGTACTGATAAGAACTTCACCCGAAGTATATACAAATGCGTTTCCTAAACAGCAAAATAATTATGTGTTAACAACACTTTCCCACCAGCAAAAGGTGTGTAGAGAGGCTCCTATGGTGTCTGTCTAAATTAGTTACTCCTTTCTCTTAAGTCCTTTTCCTTCTCTCTGTTGCTCAGTGTTATTAAACCACAAAATAGTGGAAAGTCAAAACCAGCCAGGCTCAAGCCTCAGTGAACTTCCCACAAAATGTTACAACCAGTGACACCAAAAACACAAGATATAGGAAAAGCTATAAAAATAATGTAAGGAGACAAATGCCTCAAATATCAGGTTAACCTGATGTAAATGGCATTCCCAACCTCAGTTAATGAAATGGTTTAAATTAATGTTTCTAAACGACGTTAGGATGTTACATTTATTTTGCAAGCCTCTCTGGAAAACCAGCAACTTTGTCCTCAGACATTTATCCTCAGTGATCATGCCATTATTAACAGTGTTACAAATGAACATCATCTAAACATTATATTCAATCTTTTTTTTCGGAAGACATGCATACAGAAACAATAAACATATACAGCTTTACGTCATTCTTAATCTGGCAGTATATATAGTGAAAACTGTTTTATGTTTGGCTGCATTTTCCCATACTCTAGAGTCTAGAGGAATTATGTTGTCCTTATGGCACAGCGGCCAAGCAACCTGAAAGCATATTATTATTTTCTGCAGAAATTATATATTTATTTCTACATGATTTGATACAGTGTTTTATAGCACTGTCCATGGTACTGAGATCGACTTCTTGACCCCGGCACATCGTTTCTCCTTGAGGCCCGCAGTTATATCAAATTGTATTAATCCAGAGTAATTTAGATATTCGACTGCTTTCATGGTTTAATAAAAATGACACCGTAGGAAGACTTTCTGTTAATTCAATGGCCAGTTATTAATTGCTAGACTGCGTTCACTTAACGGTTCGTACACAGAGGCAATAGAACTGATTGTCTATGAGACATAAGTCGTGGCTGCAGGGTGTAGCTGGTCCGTTTTCGTTAACAGGGAAAAAGAAAAAAGAAAAAACGAAAAACGGAGAAGCGAAATGTGTGACACCTCATCCGCTACGCTGGCAGCGAGTATATACACATAGAACAGTGAATCAGCTCCCGCTTGCTTTGGGTGCGGGGTAAAAACGGAGACCTGAGGTAAACATTGACAGCCACCGCTCAGCCGTCACTCGGAACAGCTTCCCTTCCCTCTGAGGAGCGCTAAGAGTTTTAGTTAATTGAGCAGCAGAAGTGGGTGGATAAGTGCCGGTATTGGGGTTGTTTGCAGATGGCTCATACGCCGGGTAGCCCGGTCGTTACCTCGGCAGACGGGTTGGGTGAAACACCAACCGGCCCATAAGGCAGAGAAACACCGTGGCTTCGCAAGTCACGAGGCGTAGCTAGGCCGCAGCCCGGCAGCTGCGCCAGAGGCTCCATTTTCAAGCTGCCAATCCCAAAAACAGGCCATACAGTGGTGTTTGACAACCATAATCAACTGCTCGCTAATCGCAGAGGGACCCACACGTCACGGTCCCCGTGCACCTAACGCCGCAACCTGCCTGCTCGGAGCCTCTCCGGTACGTGGATTATCACGAAACCTCCAATGGCAGTTTTGTTCATCTTTAACTAGTGTGCCGAGGTTGTTGCATTGACTGTCTAACTAAATAAGTAGTCGGCTAGTTACACGGACGCGTCCGTTGTTAGCGTGTTAGCATGTTAGCCTGCGAACACAAAGCCGAAAGGCTGCTCCTTTCCCATGACCGAAAATCGACGCGGAACAAACCCTGGTCCAGCCTCTTACCTCGAGTGGCCGGTTTTATTTTGTGTCCTTTGTTGGATATTTTGCACTGCATTCACTCCTGCTTCTGTCTTTTATCCGTTGATTTATCTGATGGGATTAAACTGAGGTTTTACTTCTGATTTGATTTTTTTTTCTTTTTTTCCTCCGTTTCTTTACCTACGATGTCAACACGGCATGCGCGGCCGCCGGACTCGGGGTCGCGCTCTGGCTCGCGCGGCCACTGAACTCGGGGTTGCGCTCTGGCTCGCGCACGGACCGCAGCCGAAGCTTTCTACAACTGGGGCGCGCACTGTCAGAGAACGAGAACGCGGGGACCATATGATAGCAACGACCCGCGCGGTTCCGCTTTTAAAGGGGGGCATGCAGCAAGGGCAGAGCAGAGCTGATGTAAACTATGTAGACAAATTAATTCCAGAGGATGTTTTGTAATAGATAATTAGAGACGCCAAAAGTGAATATGCGGACTTTAAAATTAACCTACAATTTCCCATCTTTAATTCCAGGTTCTTATCTGTTCCCCAAATATGGCTCTTAAACAGACCTGTAAAATGTATCGTGGGGTCAGTCTTACTATTGCAGCACTTAAATTGAAGATGGAGTCCCCAAACGTTTTATTAATGCATATTAATCCATGCAGCACATTTAATGTCCATCTACTTGGCATGTTATTATACAAATCATACTCCAGGCATACTGTACAAGACCTCCATCTGTGCGCTTCTCTGAGTGAAGCACCTTCTGAGGGACATATCTTTCAGTTCATACACTCAGCCAAGCCTCTTGTGAGTTGAGAAGCACCAAAAGGAAATAAGGCATCACTTTAAAATGTCATTTTAACTTAAACTTTAATAATCATCCTCTTTTACAGAAAACAAATACATTTATGGGTATAGTGTATACATATGTTTTACACAGCATATGTTATATATTTACCACAATTAAATGTACTAAATCAGTGTTCTAATAGTTAAAACTGTAGTGAACTGTATATGTAAAACCTCCTTTTAAGTACAGTGGAACCTTGGAACTCGAACGCCTCTTAACTAAACCAACTCGGACGTCGAAAGAGTCTATTGATTTTTTTTCTACTTGATTTTGTGAAATCTTGGAACTCGATAATTTCTGCTAAAACTAATATTGGTCTAGATGCGTTCAACTCTACCAATTCGGATCTCGAAATGGGTCGGCAAACGGACCTACTTGGATACTGATGCCTATGAATCGTCTCACTCTCGACCGAATTCGTTGTGCGATAGCCGTTTTCCTATGCTCAGTGTGAATTTTTTTTTGCTTTTTGTGCATTTAGTGATACAGCAATCATGGCCCCTAAGAAAGTTTGCAGTGATAGCAGCAAACCAAAGAAGACTGCAGGAGACTAAATTATTAGATAGATAGGCAGTCATTTGGGGGGTCTGGAACGGATTTATTCATTTATATTATTTCTTATGGGGAAATTCGACTTGAACCTCGACAAAACCGCAACTTGATCAGCCTTCTGGAACGAATAAAGTTTGTGTGTCAAGGTACCACTGTACACAGACGTGTAATTTCTCTGTGTACTGTATTGTCAATTGCTTAGTGCGATAATTCATAGTTTGCTCTGTAGGTAACGGGTCCCCATGCGAGGGGGGTGTAATAAAACACTACAGTACAGTTATATAAGCTTGTTGTCTTGTCCCAGCAGCCCAGCTGGGGGGGACGGGGGGACGGCAAGGACTCTGTATCCCCATGGGCACTCTTTCCCACAGACGGCCACATTATTTGTCTGTTTAATTAGTGCTCATCATGGATTGGAATGTTGGCTCCCAAAATTTTAATTATGTGTAACAGATTAATTTTCCTCAGCTCTCCCAGGGGAGTTGTGAGCAATACATACTAACAGTGCCTTAGCTGGACAATTCTAAAGTGTTTATACTAATCTGTGAAGCCTCCTAGTGTGTTGTGGGTGCTGTATGCTTCATTTATTTAGTGGACAGTTTTAATCAATTGAGAAGGCAGGGAAATCATCTGGAAGCATCTGGAGGATACAGGCCTTGCTCAAGGGCCCAACTGTGAAAATACTCTGGGAGTTGAGCTGGTAACCTACTAATCTCAAGCACAGCATCTCAACCCACTGATGCACCCTCCCCCAAAGAGCATGTGCAAAACCATCAGCACTACATGCTAACCATCACCAAAACCTCACAGGGGATTATGCTTTCTACAGGTTAATGGTTCCCGTAGCTCAAAGACAAACAATAGCGCAACATGGCTGACGCTTATTTGTTTAGATGCAAAAGACTGAAAGATGGAAATGAGTTTGCTGGATAGAAGAGACAAGAATGGTTCTGAGATTATGATGATCTATCTGCATTCACTTGGTTTAATTAGAGTGCCTTAAAGAAGTGCCTTAAAAAGCAACAACAACAATATATAGTCCAATTTTAATAATGACTTATTTAGCATGGGAATCCCAGGAAGCACCACATATCTTTGGTCTGTAGGAGGAAACCCACACAAACTGGTTAAGTGTAAACTCTAAGCCACCAAGCCGACTGCAGCAGTAGTAACACATTTGCATTATGTTCTTAGATGTTTTTTTTAAAGCAACACACATTGGAAAAAGCTGGGTTGGCCAGTCCCTGAAGCATTTGGGGTTAAAGGCTGTACTGAAGTGTTGAACACTAAAACCACAGGATTTGAACCAACAACCTTCTGACCAAAGACCTCAGGTTCTAACCTACAGAGTCACACACTGTTAATGCTTAGCATGTAAAAATACTGTGTTATTTCAGATGATGCTTGTTTGTAATTACTGCATACTGAATGCATAGAACAAGATAGTTACATCTATCTATCTATAATGGAATAGAATTCAGCGCAGCTAAATTAAGTCATTGGCTAATGCAAAATATTTGCAAAATGCAGAATCCCAAAGCAAGATAGCATCTATTCAAGACCCATTTAGTAAATTAATCATACTTAGAGGCAAGGGACTCTGGGGGCTCTAGACAAAAAAAAACTCTGTGGGGGTCTTCAACTCCCCCTCCCCCAACATGCTAACATTCATTACCTTTTTTGCTGTGAAGTGTACATTTATAATATTAAGAATTTAATAAACACAAGACCTTTATTTTCACAACACACATACACAAATAAAGTAGATTTGTGGTTGCAATGTGCTATGTAATCAGCCGCCCTCGGGGCCCCCCTCCCGGATCGAGATCCTAGGCCATTGCCTGCCCTGCCTGCTCTGTCGCTGCGCTCTCTGACCATACTTGCAGTACAGATAAACGCTGGAAGTAGGGGTGCTGAGAGTAATTCAGCACACCCCCTTGTCTGTTTCGACAAAGAAAAATATAGTGTTATGTTAAGTATGTCGTAATGGTGTTGTTTTCTCTGAAGCAAGCATAGACAGGTTTCACCCGTAAACGTTACTGACACAGCTTTAAATACACACCGCCATCTAATGGTCACATCAAATAACTGTCTATGAAAAGAAACCGCCAACTGAAAAGACTGTCTTGTCAGTCCTTCTGTGTCACTGTGCTTTGGGGTTAGTCTTTCAAAGACGTTATGAGTGCAGTTAAGTCGTCTTGGCAACAGTGAAAAACGCATGGTTGCGCTTTGGGAAAACCAGTCCAGTTCATGTTTTTGGACTTTTGCAGTGCCAAAAGAAATTCTACATGGATTCAACCGCACAATCCCGGAGGCGTGAAGCCGCACCCTCTTATCCATTACTGCTTCATTTTTGTTACTGTGCCTCCATAGTTCTACACACAAGTTCATACATAAAATCCCATTCAACACAGTTTGTGCAGTTCAGAGTTGTTCTGCACATCCTCAGCACCAGGGGGCAGGATATGCTCATTTACACAGTCTAAATCAAATTGCTGTACATATCAGTTGTCGTCACTCGTTTTTCTTACTGTTTCTGTTATTCAGAAGTGTATAAATCAGTAGGCAACCTTGCAGTCTGTTTTAATTACCCTTAAAAATCGTTTGGTCCAAGAATATAAATACTCCGAACATAAAACTCCAACAGACTCCTTGACTAATCATACTGGCTTCAAATCTGGATCTCTGTGACTTTACCATTAGGGATATTACATTTACATTAAATGTATTTAACAGTCACTTTTGTCGAAAGCGATGTACATGTCAGGAAAATGGCAAATTATAAATATACATGCTATCAAGGAGACAATTGAGCATAAGTACAGCTAGGCTGAGCTTCCAAAGGATGCCCAGGTACAAGTGTAAGTAATGTTGGAGCAGGAGCTACACAGCAACTTCTAACAAAGCGAGAACCTAATAAGAATAGGAGAAAAAAAAATTTGGGCAGCCATCATTCTGATGTATGACCAACATTAATGAAGAATCACAAATGTTTTGACAAGAATTAAGCTATAAAATAATTAATAAAAAGTTTTATTACGCCGTCACATTGCAGCTGTGATGCTTTGTATGGCATTTTGAGTTCACTGTAGGTCAGGAAGTGTGAGATATTTGCTTAATTAAAGCAAAGCCGTAAAACAAACTAATCCCATATATTTTTTAGTAACAAAATTGTAAGAAATCAACTATTTTTTGCCATATTTCTGAACTGTATGAAGTGTGTCTTTGATCTTTTCAACATGATTATTAAAGCACAAGTTTGGAACTACACTCTGAGAAGAAAAAAAACGGTAAAGAATTGTACTTTTGCTTGTCACTGTGGCTGTACCCTGAAGGGTCTGCCAATTGTATCACATAGCTGTAGGTAAATGTACCTTTTAAAGTCCAGAAATGATTCTGAGGAACATTTCTGTCAGGGTCAGAGAGACCATACCCTTTGTGTCTCTTCCCTGTTTGGCCAGCAGGTGTCACTGGCCAGCCTGTCCTGTCACTCCTCCCACCCTTGTAAGTTTTCTTGTGTTTCCCTGACTGCCATACAGCTCAGTGGGCTGCATTTATGGCTTCAACTGAATCCTGTTGGTCGAGGGTTTGAGGCTGGCTTTATTCCCTGTTAATGTTGCCTAGTTTTTTTATTTGTAAAGCTCCCTAGTTTCTGTGCCCATTAGTTATTAGTTCCACCTGTTGCCCGTTTCCTTGTGCCGCTGTTTGTTGATTGGTTAATTGATTGTCTTACACCTGTTCCTCCTTTGCCCCAGTTTTCTTTGTATTTAAAATGCCTGCCGTACTATATTCTCTAGTGAGTTGTTGAAGTATAGGTGTTGTGTATATGGTGATCTGTGAAGGTAATGCTGTGTCATGTGCCCTTGTGTTATTCTACTCTGTCTTTAAGTTAGTTCTTGTTTCCTCCATTTGCCTTTTAACCCCCTCATGGTCCCTTTTGTGTCTTCTTCAGTGTGTTCAGCTTGTTTAATAAACCCCTTTGTCTGGAGCTGTAAGTGGATCATCACCTTCCTTTCCCACCTGCACCATACCCCGTGTCTGTAACACATTTCTGTACCATTGATGATACATTAATGCCTTTGGTACCTTTTGTGATGTTCCTCAGAACCCATTTCTGTACCTTAAAAGGGACAACAAAGGTACAAATTTTTACCTTTTCTGAGAGTATATTCTACTGTTATGATGAACAATAACAGAACCAGCTAGGAGAGTATGGGCATGAGGTCTGTTCAGTCTTATAAATCACCGAAAGCTTCTCATAACACATGTCTTTGAGTCAATATAGCCATTTAAGACTATTTTCTGCAGTTTTAGTTGATCTATTCAGTGCATATGCATTGTATAATCACTGCTTAAAGGAAAATTAATCTTTAAAAAGATATTAAACTTTAACAATTAGTTCAATGAAATAGCGTGAATTCTTTTATGGTAGCAATTTTAATTGAAAAATAACCTGAGTTGCTTTAGGTAGGACAGGCTGCATGTGTGACTAATTTAATGTTTAAAGTGAAAATTTTAAAATGGTTGTTTTCAACCACAGTAACGGCAGTAGCCCTGAACACCCACGTAGAGCACACTGAATGGCATCTTTCAGACTTCTGCGTTTTGTTCTGTTTCAACACAAATGCTCTTGAAAGGAGGACATTGAAAATAAAGGTGTACAAACTGCTGAAAGACCTGGTTCATTCTGCAAGGGGACCTGACATTGCTACCAAGGCAACCAAGAAAATGCCGCACACTCACCTTGGCCCAAAACCGAGTGATGTAGAGAGAGCAAGAAGGACTGAGGGGAGAAAAAAAAAGAATGAGGGATGAAGAGAAAGAAGGCTGTGGAGCTGACTAGCAGCTGAGAATATTGAGCAGTTGACTGTTAATGAAAAGCAGCTGATCACTTTAGCAAATTTATTATCAAAGTAAGGTGGGGATGGTTACATAACTTCTTGCATGTCTCTCAATTACTCAAATTCTTAGTTCTTTTAAATTTTTATTCAATGCGCATCTGTCAGTTTATTACCCACATCACCCACATTCATCTGCCATATTAGTCTTAATATTTGAACTGTTCCACATAAATGCAGCCTATTATAGCTAGGAAAATTGCAGTTCATTTGTTTTGTTTGTGCATAGAGACCGCCCAGTATACAGATGTTGCTGGGCAGGTAATTAATCTTACTAAATTTCAATTATAGAACGGCAACTCTCAGTGCAGCAATAATGTTCAATTGTTTATTGAATGGTGACAATAAACTGGAATGAGAATTTAATTTTCTTTAAAGATCCAGAAATTGAGAACAATAGAACATCCAAGAAAGCTTTGTCATTTCACTTTTTTTTAAAAATGGCATGAAATTTGGCAAGTTTATTTGAACCACAAAACACTGCTGAACAATATCAGCGATGGGGGGGATTAATTTGAATCTGATTTCACAATTATGGCAGATATAACCTAAACCTCCATCAATGCACTACTGAGCCCCTGCCTTGCACTGGCAGCACTGCAGCTGTAATTCTCTCGGTTGAGAATAATTCCACAGACAAACAAAGCGGCTGTCCTCCTTTTTTCCTGAATCTGTCTCCTCCACTTTCTCCATCTTTTTCTGTTGCGACTGTCCCCACCAGGCCTGATAAAACTAAAATGTTAGCTGGACACAATAACCTTGACATGTGCTATATGCCATCAAGAAGTCAAGAAAACAATGATTAAAATGATATAGAATTAGATGACAGTATGACAAAAACTCTAATCATGGAAAAAAAAAAACTTTCATACTTCTGAAACACCTTTTTGATGAAAAATCCAGAGGAAAAGGTCACAAATGGCTGCTTTCTTGTTATACAGGGAGGGGCCACATGAACAGTTTCATGATTCTAGCTTGTTTCTGATTGGAGCAATTAGACATGTCACAACTGTCCCCACCTTACCCTGCCGCTTAAAGTCTACATAAAGGCAGTCTCTTGAAAGACAGCCACCACTGGCTCCTAACTGAGTGTCACAATGGTTTCAGTTTTTTTGTTCCAAAATAATCATGCTTGCAGATTGTTTGGGGCCGTACCCACCACTTGATTGAGCTAGTTTGGGGTGCAATTTTGCATGAAAATGTTCGTAATGGAGGCAGACAGAACTGCTGTACCTAAGCCATGGGAATGAGATCACCAGTGGCTTGTTCTTACAGACACATCACTACAGAGGATATTAAAACATTAGTCAAAGTGCGTAATAACCTATATCTGTTGTTTGGATGGGGATATTTTACTGCCTGTATGTATATCAGCTGTTAAAAGCTACCAGTGTAGCCGTTAGGCATGGGATATTGTTAAGTCTTCATTTACTGAGTAAGAGTAAAAGCTGGTTCACAACATCAACCCTGGACCGAGAGAGGACCCATATAGAAACGTTTTTTTTTTTTTTTAACAATATATGACTCTTGTGCACTTTACCCAAATCATATAAGCTCATTATATGACACAAAATAAATATACAATCCATATTAAGTTAATGTGTCATCAGACATACATATTCTTTATTGATGTAAAATACATATGGAATTAATGTACCGTCCAACATATAAGTCTGACATTAATGCACAATTCATATTAATTAAATGTATGTGTCATTAGTCATATATGTCCTTTATTGATGTAAAATACATATTAATGTTTTGTCAAACATGTAAGTTCTACATTTATATACAATGCATATTATATGAATGTTTTGTCAATATTAGTTTTTATGCATAATTATTTGAATGAACTCAACTGAATCATGGACCATGGTTCCACAAGAAGAATGAGTATTTTGGAAAGGAAACATCGTTTTTCAGTTGCTGCATTCACTTTGTGTTCTGAGAACATAACGTGAATTTTCTCATGTCTAATTAAACCAACTGAATGCAGATAGATCATCATAAAAAGCAATATAATTTTTATTTAGAAATAGCAAACAATAAACATGTACTTCCTACTAAAACCATATATTATCACATGGTAAAATGTAAAGTTCATGTAAAAGCAAAAAATGTTTCTTCTATAGGCTTTTACCTTCGGTGCCTTACATGTCAAATGTGTTTTTTGGTATAAATGTGGCCACAATCATACAAGCAAAAACACTGACTTGTAGTGAACATATAAAAAAATCATGCACTGTCATATATAATCGAAATAAGAAAAATGCTTGCTAGCCCTATATGAACCATATATGAACCATGCATTTTTTTTTAATATGGGGAGAAAGGTGGCTGCTAGTTTTGTGGAGTGGGTTGAGCTGGTAATCAATCAGCAGAGAGAGAGGAAGGACATGTCCTGTGGGGATGCCATATGTCCTCTTTTCCACAGGTTCGGGGGTTCTGCCTGTGTGTGTCCAAACTCTGCAGGGCCCGGGCTTCTGTTCAGCGAATGCACCTGTTCTCAGGAAGGATCACTGCTCCACCTGTCTTATCTCAGCAAATCACCACAGTTATTTATAGATGTCAAGCTCACAGGTATTTTGTATGAGACCAGGAACCTGACAAAATGAAAATGTCAACCACATTGAGTGAGTCGGTATTCAACTAGGTTTCGTGAAAAATTTAACAGACAACTCACTGGTTAGAGACTCACCACACCCTTCAAGTGTAACCCTACAGCTTCTACACCCTACACCACAGCTTCTAAGAGTAGGTTCGACAACACTGTTAGCTCCAGCCTGGTCAACACACGTACCAGGCTACTGACTAGCGCAGTGGTCTCCTACCTTTTTTTACAGTAAAAGCTACTTTTACAAAGATAAAGGTAGAGCTGGAACGTTCCAGTCCAGAAAGGACAAATCCAGACCAAGATTTTGTTTCAACCAATCAGTTGAGTATAAAGAGTCACGGTCACAGAGTACTCAACCGGTTGGTTGAAACAAAATCTTAGTCTGGATTTATACTTTCTGGACTTGGACTTTCTTCCCCTGAATAAAGATTTTTATATTGTAGCGAGCAACCAGATTGTGATGGTATATTTTGCTCACCATGGGAGGGAGGTCGTTTTTTTTGCTTTTGTTGATCGAGGGGGGCTTGGAAGAAATGTCTTGGCGAGCAACCTGTCGAGCAGTTGGTGAGCACTGGATTAAAACATTAAGAGGTCAGAAATTGAAGGCTAGGAAAAGTCTAATAGAGTGGGCAGCTGTTTTGGCCAAAATTACCTCGTTCAAAGAAGAACATTAACAGAATTATGGCAGAAAATTCACTGGAGCATTTCTGATTAACAATAAGCAGCTACAAATCTCCCAGCTATTCCTCCAGCAGAGAGGGTGAGTGCTTAACACTTTCGGAAAATCCTTCTCCACAGCCCACCTTGAGCCACCATCTGTCCACTCCTTCACCCCGGACTGATTACTGCCCTGAGGAGTGGAGATGAGCTTCGAGCTCCTCTCCTCCCTGAGACACCAAGGTCAGATTTCACTTCGAGGACCAAACTGTCCCTTACAGAGATGATGAAAATGAGTCCTGGACAGAACTCCTATGTGGCATCAAGAATTTGCTTCAAAGATCAAGGGACAGGAACACCAGGAAGGTGTGATCTCCTGTATGTGATTATCGAAAGATCTTACGTATTCAAAAGCCCCTATCAAGTGCTACCTCCAGCCCCAACCCGAATCTGCCAGGGTATCCATGCCCCAGCAGGGGTATAACATGAACACACACTGATACAGGCCACTAACAAAGTACTCTTGAAATCATGGACTTTGATAGAAACACATTGTGCTGCCACAGAGTGTGTTCAGTGACAGGGATAGACACACACACAGGACTACATAGCATTGCTACAGACATGTCATCATCCGCATGGTGTTTCACAAAAATCCCTTTTCAATTTTATTGGATTAGGGCAAATAAAATTAATGAAATCTAATTTAATTATTCACACCTATTTTATAGGAAAATAATAATGTTCCATAGCATTTTTTTCTGGATTTTTCAGCTTATTGAACACATGGTACATAAACAGAAGGAAAGAGGCACACAGGCTTAACCAGCTGGATTTGATCACAGGCCTCTTAGCAAAAGGTCACCACTCTATAAATACACCAATTCAGCTTCCTGCCAGCAAACAAGAAACACAGCGAAAAATGTTTAATTCCTTACAAGAATTTCATGGCTGCTCCCTGAAATGTCAGGATGCATAGGATACCTATACACTGCTGGGGATGTGCCCCACTGGTCTGGTGCTGCGCGATTGACCACAGGGACACTCTCTAGGACAGACACACACTTGTATGAACGGGCCTGGGCTCTCATCTGTCTCCAGTGTTAGGAGACAGTGACCAGAGAACAGGTTCACCAGTCCACGATTACACACATTAGAAAACCAAATAGCTGTGCTCTTCCGCTACACAGGCTTGGCCTACATGGGAAAGACCAGGAAGCCAGAGAAGGTAGAGTACTTCCATCCGCCCATCAGGTTTCCGCGCTCCAGCTTGAGGTACGCGCTGTCTCCCTTCTCCATGGCGATCAACACACCATTGCTGGCGGCCTCACGGGTCACATCCTGATCGCCCGCGAAAGCAGAGATAACTGGCCAGCCATTGTGCATCAAACTCACCTGCAGCACAGATACACAAACAGCCAGGGAAGGACACTCAGACCCTGCAGAATACCTGCTGTCTACTTCCATGTATGATTCTGTGTGTGTGTGTACCTGCGGTCTATACACTGTCAGAAAATAAATGTACAGCCCTGGTGCAGTTTTGTTCCCCAAGCTACAAACAATATTAATGTACCCGCAATGGTACAAAAATGCTTTACAGAGTCCATGTCTGTACCTTATATTAGACTAAAAGATACTTTTACCTACAGCTAGGGCAAAATTGGCAGAACCTTGAAGGTACAGCCCCAGTGACATGTAATTGGTACAAATTGGTACTTTTTTTGACAGTGTGCAGTGTGTGCATACCTGTTGTATATACCCCTGTAAGATGCCCGTGCTGGTATATCAGCTGTATATGCCCCTATAAGTCACCCATGTGTGTATACCTGTTGTACAGTGTATATGCCCCAGTAAGATGCCCGTGCTGGTATATCAGCTGTACAGTATAGTATGCAAAAGTTTGGGCACCCCTCGATAAATAACATATTTTGATCATTTTTTAATGGAAAAGATGTAAGCACAGTCTCTGTAGGAAATGGAAAAAATGCAAAATATTTACACCAAACATTGATACATAGTTACTTTTTACGTCATAAATTGAACAAAGACAAAAAATAAAAACATTATTGTGGCACTGTGCAAAAAATTTGGGCACCCTACATAATCAGTACTTAGTAACACCTCCTCTGGCAGATATCACAGCTTGCAAACGCTTTCAATTCTCGTACTTTGGATTTTCTCCCATTCTTCCTTGCAAAAGGCTTCTAGCTCTGTAATATTCTTTGGTCGTCTTGCATGCACAGCTCTTTTAAGGTCTACCCACAAATTTTCAATGATGTTTAAATCAGGGGACTGTGATGGCCTTTCCGAAACCTTCAGCTTGTGTCTCTTGAGGTAGTCCATGGTGGATTTCCAGGTATGTTTAGGGTCATTGTCCTGTTGTAGAAGCCATCCTCTTTTCAGCTTTTTTATAGATGGTGTGATGTTTGCTTCCAGAATTTGCTGGTATTTAGTGGAATCCATTCTTCCCTCCACCCGTGCAATGTTTCCTGTGCCACTGGCTGCAACACAACCCCAAAGCATGATAGATCCACCCCCATGCTTAATAGTTGGCAAGGTGTTATTTTCATGAAATGCTGCTCCTTTTTTTCTCCAAACATGCCGTTGCTGATTGTGGCCAAAGAGTTCTATTTTAACTTAATCAGTCCACAGCACTTGTTTCCAAAATGCATCAGGCTTCTGTAGATGTTCTGTTGCATAGTTCTGACATTGGATTTTATGATGGGGACACAGATAAGGTTTTCTTCTGCTGACTCTTTCATGAAGGTCTTGTGGAACAGTGCACAACCACTCCTGAGTCTGCTAAATGTTCCTGCAGTTTTTTTGCAGTCAAATGGAGGTTTTGATTTGTCTTTCTGGCCAGCATATGAGCAGTTCTCTCCAAGAGTTGTCTTGGTCTTCCAGATCTCATCTTGACCTCCACAGTTCCCCTGAACTGCCATATCTTAATTACTTTTATCACTGTGGAAACTGCAAGCTGACAATGCTTTGCTATCTTCTTGTAGCCTTCTCCTCCATTGTGGGCATCAATAACTTTCATTTTCAGAGTCTTACACAGCTACTTAGAGGAACCCATGGTTGTTGAGTGTCCACAAGTGTGTGCACAAGGTTTGAAGAGTCAGAGTATTTGTAAAACTTTGAAATTGCGCTGAGCTGACATTTACTAATGACAGCTGTTGCCATGCATCAGATCTAATGAGCTGATTAAGGTCTGAAACCTTGTAAAAAGAATCTGAAACTTTGGAACTCTTAGGGTGCCCAAACTTTTGCACAGTGCCACAATAATGTTTTTATTTTTTATCTTTGTTCAATTTATGACATAAAAAGTAACTATGCATCAATGTTTCGTGAAAATATTGTGCATTTTTTCCATTTCCTACAGAGACTGTGTTTACATCTTTTCCATAAAAAAATGACCAAAATATGTTATTTATACCCAAACTTTTGCATACTATTGTATATGCCCCTATAAGATACCCATGTGTGTATACCTGTTGTATATAACCATGTAAGATGCCCATGAGTGTATACCTGCTGTTTATGCCCCTGTAAGATGCCAGTTTGTGTGTGCATGCCCTGAAATGGCTTTGCATTCCATCCAAGGTTCATCTCTACCTTGTCCCCTGTGCCGCCTGGGCAGGTTCCAAGCTCCCTACAGCCCTCTACTGAGACACAGGCACGAAGATGCAGTCGAACACAGGCACATGTGCTAATTTCATAGATGCATGCGTTTCTGAGCCTTTACGTCTGTGCATTCATACTCATGCTTTGGCATGTCACTGCATGCGTGTGCGATATTCCTCATCATATTTTTCTGACCTTGTTTAAAAATCAAAAGCAGCAGGCTGGTAGTGGATTGTTCATTTTCTCATGCACTATAATTATTTCATGGTTTAATTACTTTAGAATACATTTCTGCTTGGGAGCATTAAACAATTAACAAGTTAAGATCCTCACACATACAAGCCTATTTAAAGGCATTATGCTGTTCAGCTCAGTTCTGCGTCATAAACACAACACGAGAGTTTACAAACGCAGTATCTCCACAACCTGTTAACGCGTCACTTGTCTTTATAGGCTATAAGGCTATAAGGGAATAGTAACCGACGATAGCGGTTGCGTTCAGTTTAACCGTTTCCGTGGCGCTAACCTGTATGGTCTGTCGGTTGTACACTTTCACTACGTGGAAATTAAAGCTGTATATCCCCTTGCGTGGAGCGATGAAATTGCTCTTTTCTTCGTCGAAATTTTTGCCCACATTCACCAGAATCTGTGATGAAACGTAAGAGACAAAAAGAACAACTGATGATTTATATGAATTTAATTGAAAATGAATTTAAACTGAATCCATTCTGAACTCTTCATTCAAACGTTTTTATGAAACATTTTCCACATTTTACTATTTAACATCACGATACGTATTATAACTTCACTTAGGCCCATAGAACTATTCCACATTGACGCATTTTGATGATTTTAACAAGTAACATGATTATTATAAGCTTCATTGACATTTGTCTTTTCAAAGACTTGAAATGTGTTATATTTCTTATAATAGGCCGTGTATACAAATTTAATGGATTACCACATGTAATCAATAGGCAACACGTAAACGCCTCGCTCCTTCCTCCATTAGCCAGAAGTACCCCCCCTCAACGTGTCAATCTCCTGTACCTGGTCGAAGTAGATGACCATGGTCCGGTTACTCATCTCCGACGGTTCGTGGTTGGTGTTCCTCACGGCAGAGAAAGCCACTTTTGCACCTCCAGAGCGGACCGATATTCCAAGGGACGTCCCAGTCACATCCGAGGTCGGGTTGGAGTCGCACACCACCAGGCATTTCCCCTCCAGCATAATGGGCTCAGTGTCATTCTGAGCGGCTGCCAGTGCTGCGAGCCACAGCGCACCCAGAAGGACGGCGATCATGCCTGTTCTTTTTGTGTTTTGACAGATATTCAGCCCACGTCTTACCTATTCTCGAGTTCAGCCTTGTGAAGGCAGCCCACCGGTGTCTCCCTCACCCTCTGAAGGACTGTCCCGCTGGGAGCGGAACGAGTCCACTGAGAAGCCGAAGAGCAGCTGAATGCATCGTTCAAGGTCTGCCTACTGCGCTCTTAATCACTGATGTGATAGATGACGGGGACGCTTCTCCGTTTCTGCACCGCTAAGTTGAATAGACACTCCCCCGGAGCCGAACTGCGAATCAGCGCTGGGCGATCCGCCTTTTTCATCGGCCGGTCTGTTATAGGGGCATGGCAGAGAGGCGAGAGGACCTGTACTGTATCACACCGCTAAAGGTGTTGTCGGCTTGGATGCGTTTTGACCTCCTCAGTCGTTGAAGTTTAATATAAATGCGTCTTTTTTTGCGAAATTGAACGTCCTGGATCAGTTTCGAAGATCTACTTAAGTTATAAAATAATTCCCTTTGGATCACAGATATTTGAGAAGACCGCCTTCAAAGAAGATTTACAAAATAAAAGATGGCAAAAAATAATGGTTGAGAATGAAATTTAAATTGACAAAATGTTACAATATTTCCAAGACGACAAAGTTTGTATAATTATCGATCATCAATAACGTTTTAAAAAATATTAAAATATTGTGTTCTATGGTCACTCAGCAAAACTGTGTGCCTAGTGTTTGTAAGGTTGCTGTTTCTTGATTCAGTGGGATCACAACGAAAAGGCCAGAAAAAAATAAAATACCGCCGCTGTTTATTTCGCGGGCTGGAGTTTCTCTTTTGCTCAAAATGGTCTCCCGACGAATAGAGATTTGAAGACTTCAATCAGAAACACCCGCGTGACTGAATGAATTGTCTCTGTTCGTCAGCGAACTTGTGGAGTTGTAGGGAAACAGCGGGAACTTAACTTTCTCAAGTGAGTGCATACTCAAGTTCAGGGAAATGATTCTGTTTAAAGAGTTGCAACTATGCCATTTGTGCATGCAATTTTCAGCAGGAACAGAAACAAATGTGTAAATTTCGAAGAAAGTTGATATGATAATTTCCGGCTGGTGCCTGCCTTGTAATTAGCATGAAAAGTTTGAAATGACCTCCAAAGTTAGAGGAGCTGGTGTGTCCATGATGATCATGAACAGAAGGTGAGTTGTGTTTATATTCTCAGAGATGCAGGAAGAAGTTGCATCTCCTTTTCCAACGTGAAAATATAGTAAAGGTTCTAAGTTGACGTTATGAAGTCAGTCCATCAATACCGACCAATGGCCGTTTCTTAGCTGTATCACTGCCCGCGGTCTTATGAATCTTTACACCAATACAACTGAGGAACCAAATGGCCCGAAGGGTAAAAACTGTCTTTGAGTGGTGTGGTCATGAGGTCCTGCACCATCTAGCAACAGGGAGTAGGGAGAACGTGTCCATGCAGAGCGGTACTGCAGGGCATCCATGCGTCACAAGATCAGCTTTAAGACCCAAATCACTTATCACCCACTGGAAACGCATCACCTTGACATGAATGGACAGCAAATGCCTTGGAAAGGGCATTAGGGTACTATAAGGTCTGGATGACACATAATTACCAGAATATTAGTGCACTGCTCACAAAATGTATTCATTCCCAAAAAATCTTCCCAAATGAAGCACATCATGAACCCTTGGCTTTGATATGTATTATTATGTAGGCTTGGTTATAAGAATGCATGGAATGTGTTCTATATTTAAGCGTGTCCTGTAGGGTGGATTGTGATATGTTATCCTGTTAAATGACACACACATGAAAGATATACTGTATTCATCCATCTTCCATATTCATTTAACCAGTACAGTAACACAGTGAGCCTGTAGCCTACATCAAAAAGGCAAGGGACATCATGGATGAGACGCCAGTCCATTGCACAAACAAAGGTATAAGCAGCAAGTTAGAATCATAAATTCACCTAACCAAAATCTTTGGACAGCAAGAGAAAACCAGGGAATCCACACAACACAGGAAGCATGTGCAAACTCCATAATCACGCAGGCGGGGTGTGATTAGAACCTGCAACTGCCCACCATGCCACCATACTATCTGCGGAAGCATACTGCATTTTTAATGAACAACTGCCATCTAGTGGCAGTTTTCTGCACTGCATGCGTTTGTTTCTTCTGCGTTGGTATCTCTGCTTGACGTTGCACAGCGGATGGTAATGTTAGAGGTCTCAAACCGCTCTCTTTGTGTGGAGGTTACTTGTTATCCCCATGTCTGTAGATTTCCTCTGGGTGGTCCAAGTTTCTTCATGCAGTCCAAAGACTTAAAGTGAGACTAGTCTCACTTAACCTAGTGTCCATTGAAGCAGTAACTGAAGCAAATAGTGGGTCACGTCGATCCTCTGTGTGCTTTTTAGAATTGGTGTTGGTAAGTGACCTCCTCTGCTCTTGAGTTCTCAACAGAGCAGCAGAAATATGTCCCGCAGATACTAAAAATGCCATGAAGATAATAATGTGCATGTTTGCCTTTCAGTCACCCATTATTCACTGACTTTCACCAGCCCCCCATCTTTCACAGGTGGCTGAAACCTCACATTAACTCAGTACTGTGTTCTGTACTGTTTACCCATGGTAACCTTGGACATTTGGAAAGGACCTAATTAATTCCTCCAATCCCTCCGCTCAGCACGAGTGAGAACAGCATGTCACTGCAAAACACCGGGGGCAGTCACACATTCAAGAGCATCACAGATGACCATATTGTGTGTTTAAACCGATTTAATTATTTTGAAAATCCCATTTAAAGGACATGCAAAAGGCATCAGCTCTCCGTTTAGAAGCTGGTCAGGAGGCTGAGTTTCAAAGTCTGTATACATGTATGTGTGTAAGGGGACTATGTGAGCGGACATTGCAATTCTGTTCCATAAACAAAGCATCCTAGTGTGGTGTTCCTCAGCCTTGAGTCCGGTGCAGATATGGACTGAAGGGCATCTCTAAATAGAGAGGGATCTGAAAATCCACTTCGTACCAGTTTGTACTTCAAAGGTAACTTGCATCTGAAAATAACTCACGAATAGTAGATACTCCATCATGTAACCTTTCTCTTCTGAGTGGTTACAAACTACGTCAGAACACTGGTTTTGATTCAGTGAATTCTTTCACAGTGGCAAATTATTTAGCAAGTGCATACAAGTAAGGCTAACACACGGCAATGCCTATTGTAGTCCAACTCTGCATTTATTGGGTATAGAAACACTTCCATAACTTTGATGAACTGAACAAGTTCAGGAACATGGAGTACAAAGTTTAAATCTCCAAATGTATTCAGTTTTGTTCTACAGTGCAATAACAAGTGGCTGCCAACATCTGCTGACTAACATGCTTTTCCACAACACTGCACTAAAACAACAATGTAATAGCTGGTAAAAATGTCTTGAAAAATGATAATAATAATAATAATAATAATCTTAGCCTTAATGATAACAATAATAATAAAAGCCCCATAAGACCGACAAGAATTAACTGCTCAGTTTGAAGGAGTTAGTGTTGGAGTCACTCTCTGGTATTAAACTGGCAGGCTGCTATGAATCCAGCCACGATGCTGCTGGGTTTGACTGGGTGGCTACAGGCAGACTGCGCTTCTGCTGCTCCTACTCTCCGTATGACCTGAGCATGGTGGCTGGTACCCTCTGGGGGTTGTTCTTAGCAGCTCACCTTCGTGCCACACCTGGGTGACAGGGGGCTGGGCATCCCTTTTGATTGGTCCCAAGGTGTGAACACCCAGCCTGGCGGCCATGTTAGTTTTTGCGACAGGATCCAAACACTGCGAGAAGCCAGTGGTGCAGGAGAGAATGGAGCAGCTGCAGTGATGACAACAGCTGACATCACTGGTCTTGGACTCTCAGAGTTCAGTGTTTTTCCCCTCAGGTTTCAAAAGCTCCCTAAAAGATCAACTTCAGAATACTACATCTTAACATACTTGTCGTATGTGAGGATTACAACCGTTATTACATCAATCCATGAAAATACAAACATATCCAATCAAAATAAAGTAAAGACAGGTCATAAACTACTACTGAAAAAGCCTTCTTGGGTCCTCCGTAGTGGGACTTGGAAATCTAGAAAAAAGGAATTGGCTCAGTTATTAAAATAAACCTCACTATGCAACACCACAATGAAACCAGACAGACTGGACTAATTCATCTCAACCAATGTGAAGCCGAATTTTTTTT